ATTTCATGTACCATTTTTTTTAATCATGATCCATTCAGATAGGGTGGTCAACAATGCATGACAAGATTTTCAAATAGAATTGTAAAAAGAAAATCTTTTGAACAACTAGGCCACAATTAGAAATAAACATCTTCCTGCTTCTTCATGAAGTATAGAAACAATTAAATTAAAATCACGGGGCTAGAAATGGGGCTACAATAGGTGGTCAACATTTGATATAGGAATAAACAGAATGACTGTAATAAATCAGGAAAGAATATAGCATGATGGAGTACCATTCTTGATATATGACGTCATTAATTTGATGCATTTCTCTATTTTAAACAGAAAAAGCCTCAAAATGACCCATTTCAAGGGTTATTTTCCTTAAGAAAATAGTGTCCACAGCCGTCGCCCACGTTAATTTTTAGATATGTTGTGTAAAATTCTTTGAAAAATTACATATCTCAATATCTTTATGGGCGATGCCTGTGGACAATATTATCTGAAAGAAAATTCCATTGAAAATTGATGTCTTCTGCAACTTTTTAAGAAAATACGGGAAAATGCACAAGTTTATGACGTCACAATTGGCATTTGGAAGGTCATGTGAGAAAAAAGATTTGTATGATCTTTTTGCATGGAATTTCAATAATTCAAAAAGCATGAGTTTTAATTTTTTACATCACTTTTATTTTTAAGAAAAACACAGGGCAAGATTTGTATTGAAACCGTACCTTGTTCTTTGTGGGAAAGATGTAATTTTAAGATTTAGAACATCAAGGATGAAAAGCCCAACTCCTTCATCTGCTTCTTCATGGATATCAAATATTACAAAAGAAATAGAAAGATTGAGAAAGACGGAAAAAACAACAGGAAAACATCTTATAGCTTATGAAAAATGGAAATCGTGTGGGATTTCATCGTTCACGTCAGAGATAAGTATGCATCTCTCTCTCTCTCTCTCTCTCTCTCTCTCTCTCTCTCTCTCTCTCTGACAACTTAGATAACACCAGCTTTCTATAGAATGAGTGTTTTCTGACATCAGCTAATTCTCATCTTTAGAAAAGTATGAATAGTTGGAAGATATAATTTTGTTACAAACTTTTCTCAGTCTATTAGTTTGTGTTACCATGAAAAAAATAAATGGGTTGACTTGCTGTTGATTTCCTTGGGAGAATGAAAATGCTAAAAATAACGAACAGTCGATCCCAACAAACCTACAAACAATACAAATTTTCGAACAGGCATAATGCACGGACCCCTGGAAATTTCAGAGATGGGATTAGGTGCTTAGGAGGAGTAAGCATGCCCGGTTGAGCGGTCACATCCTCCTTGAGTCCTATTGTATTGATCAGATAGACGGAATAATCCGTAGTAAAATTTTGTAATTTTTTTTTTTTTTAAATCTAACGAGCTAATAATTTTGTATGAAATATATCTGTCAAAATACATCAATGAAAGTTTGTATTTGTAAACAAGGTCATTATAACGACCTTAGAATTATCGAAATGCTAACTTTAAATGAGGTTGTTGAAATCCATGTAACATAAATTTATTTGTCAGTAGTCTGCCTCGATTTAAAAATTGATTGTATTCATGGCAAGCATGGCAGACTACCGTATAAGTGGAATTTTTAGCGAGACGCAAATTTAGCGATTTGTCCTTAAAAATCAGTATTTAATTTTAGCGCGAAGTAATACAAAGAGAACTGTAACCTCTAATGCGGAATAAATTGTTAGCGGTATTTAATTTTAGCGAACTCAACACCCTCGCTAAAAATGTCAATATTTAATCCTCGCTAAAATTTCTGCTTATACGGTATCTGGTTCTTTTTTTTCCAGTTGACTTGGACATATCGATTCGAAAGTTGCTGTTACGTAAATATGTTCTTGTAAAATACTGTTATTTTTTGCATATATATTTGCGTATATATTTTCATGTTTGATATACATCTTTGAGGCATTAATATGTAAATATTAAAGGTGAAAAATTCATGCACTACCTTGCTTTTATTAATCAGGTTCGTTGATAACTTTTCTCTATTATATCCCGCTCTCGTCATACCTGGTGAGATTCGTTTGTACTGATACCTTAAGTGTAAAAATTGCAGAATTTCAATGTGAAAAAGTGACCACTAACTAATCACCGAGGATATTAACATTGCGTTTTATAATAAAGATTGCTTTCATTCGAATTGTGCGACTTGCTGCAAAATGAATGTAACTGTAAGAAATAATTGCGTGAATAAGTATCTCTCCTGCCAAACTTTTTTGAAACTTTGAAAGATGTTCCCTTGATTATATCAAACAGCTTTCTGTGTAAAAACTGGCCCCAAGACCATATACTGAGAATAGACTTAAGTCAAAATTTTGATTTTTAATATCTTGAGTTTTATTTCATGTATTTGCTTAAAATTTTACAATTTTATATAACATTTAAATTCAAATATATGATGAAAATTTTATTTTTATTATTATCAAAATTATTTCAAAAGTTACATTGCTTTGAAATTTGACTTAAGTCTGTTCTCAGTTTATGGTCTTGGGCCCTGGTCTCGGTTAGAAAAAAATTATCACTGTTTCCATGGTAGCAAACAAGCGGAAGTTATGTTAAAAATTTATTTCTTTCCTTGAAATTATATCATCACGCATACTTTTATTACTTATTAGGTTGACACTGACTGTTTACAGAAATCAATCTCAAAGAAGAGCCGAGTCGTCTATGAGATTGACCAATCTGACATATTTCTGTAGACAATCTGTATAAACCTGATAAGTGAATTATTTTTCTCGAGGATAATAGTATGTGAAACATACACACAAGTCAGGTAAGTATCTACGATTATGAAAGGGGAATATGGAGCAGCCCCCAAAAAACGTGAGGGGGAACTAGATCTAGAAGTTTTTGGCAATTTTTCAATGCAAAGACATGGCATAATTTCCACCACGCTGCAACAAAAAGCGGGGGGATGCACTACGTTTGAATGATATAGAATCTACAGTAAAAGACTTGTGCTTAAAACAAGGGGAACTCTCTCTCTCTCTCTCTCTCTCTCTCGATCTCGACCGACCGACCGACCGATCCCCACATAGTACCATGGACCTGCAAAAAAAAAATGATCAAGATGAATGAACAAACCATATTTTAATTCTGTTATAAACGTATTCAAGTTTCCATGTAAGCTCCAAATATCGAGTCTCGATATAGCAAATCAAAACAAAATGGGCGGGGATCAGACTCACAAGCTCTGATTGTAAGTTACGTAAAATATGATAATGAGCATGCTCTACGTATGAACAATTTCTAAAACGAAGTAAGTTATTGAAAAACAAGTTGATGAAACAAGAATATCAGTTGTCTCGTTTAAAGTCATCATTTCTTAAGTTCTATGGTCGATGCAATGACCTTGTCAGCAAATACAATTTATCATTAAGTCAAATGCTGACTGCCTTTTTTCATATTAATTGTTAGGCTATTATTTACACACTGAATTGTCGACGGATTTTCCGTTATTTCCCGATCTTGACAAGGAGCACACGGAGGGTGTGACCGGTCGGCAGGGGATGCTCACTCCTCCATGGCACCTGATCCCATCTCTGATATCTTAGAGGTCCGTGTTTGCTCTGCTCTTATTTTGTATTGTTTAAAGGACTTTTGAGCTCGAATACTGTTCGTTATCTCCACATATTTCATCATGCCTGGTCCCCAGAAAACGACTAGAAAAAAACAAGACAATCAAAGCATCACAAGAAAAGGTTAGCAAAAAGATGGCTCATCCAAAGAACATGGGCCACAAGATGTGATATGCAAGTCATAACCGTACAAAATATGACATGCAGATCTAAACTGTGCGATCCTATTCTGTCTAATCATAAACGTTTTTCCTTTCTCGTTTGGGCGAATCTCGACTCTGCTATCACTTGTGATGCAGACTCAACAAATCTCCCGTCATGACTAAAAAGGACCGAAACTCTAATTTCAAAAGAAAACATTATGGAAAGCTGTTTCCGTTATAAATCATCTCTACTATCGAAATGTAAACGGAACACGTAGGCCATATTGCAAGATATTAATTCTTATCTGCCGAACATAGCCGGTAGTCACGTGTCGCGTTTAGTGCGACATGTCAATCCGAGGGAAAATAATATTTCAGTAATTTCCCAAGTTTCATGGGTTTCAATTTTAAATAGGGCTGTTGTTGCCATTAAAATGAAAAGGATATATTTCTGTAGGTTTAATTTTTGACAGAAATTTCAATTGGTAGTTGCTAAACTTCCTTTTTATCTCCATATTTGCACCAATTGCGTCATTTCGCTGCCAAAGGAGTAAGGGGCAGTTCGGGATGATGTAAGTTATTGCTTCAATACCAAATTTTCTTGCTATAACTTTTGTTGTGTTTATGTTTGAAAACATCATTTTTCTTTGCTAGATAAAAAATCAATTTTATAGAACTGTAAGCATTATTTTCAGAGAGCAACAGGAGAGTCGATATGAAACCTTGTGTAATGGCAGAATGTCGCACAGGGAAATTCCACGTTGAACATGGCATTATAGAATCATGTAATATGATGTATTGCAAGAAATCAAACTGTCATCAAGTCAAATGTCCAAAAACAACAAACAAATCGAACCCTACTGGTTATACAATCGATGATGCACAGCTTCATGCTTATGGACAGAACTGCACTTCTGTTTCTTTTACTTCTTCGAGAAACATGGGAATAGTTGGAGGACATTGGATACCGATAAAATGCAAACCGACACATCGTGTTGCTATTATCATACCTTATAAAGATAGAAAGGAACATCTTTGCATTCTTCTAAAGAATCTTATTCCTATTCTAATAGCTCAACAAACAGAATTTAGAATTTTCGTAATTGAACAGGTACAAGTTATTTTTATTTTTCTGGACTGATTTTTCACTCATATTTATTACAATAGAATGTGTTTAAAAACAATTTTCAATTAAAGCAATATTTTTTTGTAGATAGGAAATATATTTAATAAAGGAAGGGTTATGAATGCAGGTTTTCTTGAGGCGGTGAAACTATTTGACTTTTACTGTGTTTTCTTCCATGATGTCGACCTTATCCCTGAAAATGATAGGATTCTTTATAAATGTGGAAAACAACCACGCCATCTATCGGTGGCAATCAATGAACATGGCTACAAGTAAGATTTATTCCTATTTTTTACTCTCAATGGTGTCATTTGAACATATATAACATGATAAAAATCAGACTGCGCTTGATCTATAATTATACTTTACAAACTCTTGAATTCTGATACAGGTTGATGTACAGCTGGTTAGTGGGTGGAGTGTTAGGATTTAGACCACACACTTTCCGTAAAGTTAACGGATACTCCAACATGTTCTGGGGCTGGGGAGGGGAAGACGACGATATGTACTACAGGTGAGAAGTGCCATTTTATATCGATCCATAGATTATCTAGTAAGTGAATATGATGATTCATATCGAATGGGAAATAATTATGCATTAAAATCAATAGTATTTTGCTAAAATTCATTTTAAAATCAACAGTATTTTTGCTAAAATTCATTTTTCTTTCGATGGAAAATCAAAATAGATATTATTTCAAGGTTTATGCATCCTTCTACAGTCTAGTCCTTTAAAATATATCATTTTATTTCAGAAATGAATAATTCTTGATTCTGTAACCTGTATTATTATCGTTATTTATAGAATGACTCATTTAAAACTCCGTGTAAGACGACCTCCTAGATCCATTGCAAGATATACAATGATACGTCATAAGAAAAGAGAACCATGGTCGAAAAGGTAATCACAATTTTACTGCACAAGTCAGAATAATTATAGTTAACAATTACCACAATAAGGGGGGACTGATTTAAACAGAATAATAACATGTTTGTCAATCAACAATCGAAGTTGCGAAGTTTCAACTTTTTATGCCAAATAAATTTATGTGTGTTCAAGTTTTGACTCCTGGAGCTAGCCAGACATGGATTTAAAATTTTGCATAGAATAATTCCTGCAATTTATTCCAATACTTTTTTTGACATAAAAGGAAGGGATGAAGTTATAAGATAAATGTGTTTCAACATTTCGTAGGGATCCAATGATTGATAGGAATCAAAGATGAGGGGATACGTCGATTATTATTGTCAAATTGATTTTTATTCTCTATGTAAGAACATGGGGTCAACATAAGTCATCTATTCAATATTAATTTGTGATAGAGATAAAGAGACAGAAAGATAATATGATTGAAAAAAGCATTATGGCCTATTTCTCTTTTAATGCTCCTTTACTCCTCCATGGCACCTGATCCCACCTTTGATGTTTTAGAGGTCCGTGTTTGCTCTGCTTCAAAATTTGTATTGTTTAATGGACTTTTGAGATTAAATACCTGTTCGTTATCTCCATATATTTCATTAATGCTTCTTTTTTTAAAGATTTAAAGTACTGAAAAGATGGAAGAAAAGGATGAAGACTGATGGACTGATAAATGTTCCTTACAAACGCATATCTACTCAAATTTACACATACTATACTAAAATTAGAGTTGATGTCGGAAAACCAAATGGCATTATCAAAAAATCTAATGTTTCCTTTAGAAAACGGGCTGTCCCTGTACGAGCGTAGAACGTTTTACTTGCCATATTTTAAAAATGTTATTTCAATGTGTGAATTTTACAGTCGTTGATTGAAATAAAAAAAATGATCAAAAAATTAAATTTATTCATATGTTGAATGGAAACGATAAACAACGAACGTAGACTGGAAGGATTATTTTAATGAAGCTAATGTAAGATTATATTTTGTCTGTGTTGTACAAGGAAAGGTTTAACATAAATTTTATCATTAACATTGAGGTTCTTAATTTTGATGAAATCCAAATGTAAATTCGCAATAAATGAATAAAATATTTATCATTGGAACAATTTTGTAAGCGTCATTACACTGTGAAGCCAGTTTTATGTTGATCCCAAGCTAAGACGACCAAGGATTGTCTATGATTATTTTGTGTCTATGTGTTAGAATGCTTCGCGTAACAATGAAAACAATGAATGATCATTTCATCTATTCACCTATAAAGCCTTTTAGAAAGACACCATAAAGACTGACATCTGTTTTATATTTTGATTTTTTACTCCTGATGTAAATGGCAAACTAATAACTACTGTACCCGCAACGTCATTCATGGCCATTTTCCTTTTGTGTCCTATCGTACGTGTATTTTACCGTGTATGCGTGCATTCTATCAGGTTTTCCTTCATTGTATCGTACATTAATGTTATGTTGCGTTTTATCGTGTGGATTCGGATGCATCTTATTTTACCGCCCTATACACGAAAAAGATCAAGGTATTCCAATGTACATAAATTACGGATGAAGAAAAAAGAAACACCGATAATTTTAATCGATATTTAAAGACGTATAAAGGGAAAGTATGATAAATGTGAAGGTTTTATTATATTCAGCAGTATTTTATAGAAATGAATGAAGAATTATGTATAATTATTAAGTTAAAACTTTGATTAACAGTAGTTTAAAAGTAAAATTTATCTGATCTATAATAATTATAGTTTGATACTATTTTGCTGGTTAAAAGATTTTTTTGTTTACAGAAAATAATTGTTGAAATAAGAAGAATCAAAGAATTCTCATTGTTATGCCAGCTTGGCATAACAATATGAATTCTATCCTAGGAATTATAAAATGTAAATCTTAATGAATAATGAATGAAGAAAATTAGTTTAACTTATTCACATTTTAAATTTCTAATTGATTCATCTTTAAAAGAGCTTTTACTTACCACCCAAAAGGCATTCTCGCTGGACAAATAAAAATCTAAATAAAGTAGATGTTGATTTGAACATATTTTATTGTATGAATAATATAAAAAATATTTATCAGTCAGATTAGGGGCAAGCGGCCTAAGGATTTATTGATTGATATTTTTTTAACTTTATCATTTAAAACAAGTTTTATCTGTTCAATATATCCGACACTTAATTTTTGTCAACGTTAAATTAAAAAGGTAGACGTGATTTGCTTCTATTTTCAAAGGTGCCTGTAATCTACCTGCTTAGGACCGCACTTGCACAGACGTCTAACAAATTCCAAGGAGAAAAATTTACAATACAAACTAATCGATGTCCTTTATTTGGAAGAAAAAAAACATGCTTGCATACATAATGCGCGTGTCCTATGTCAAGTGAAGGAGGTTGAAAATCGGTATGTGCTGGTAATGAAGTTCTTTAGAAAATAGAAAATATTTATGAATGTTATCAAAGTTCTGAATCGTAACGTGTTTTTATAACTATGTAAATGTACGAATTTAATTGTTATGTTATAATGAAGCACGTAAAATAAGTAACTTAGCAACACGTAAAAATATACCCTATTTATCATGTTCTTGTCCTTTATCAGTTGTTTACATTTTATAAACTCTTAGATAATCATTGATAAGTACATGTACATACATAAATTATATTTATTACCGAATTATAATAGTAAGTTTATGAAGCTAGATGTCATGTTTCGCTTTATACATACATGTAATTGCCTTTAATTTAAATTACCAACATAAAGGTTTTGTGTTTAGCGTGTTTTGCGTTTATCAGGTCTTGCGTTTATCAAGTTTTGATTGCGTTTATTGTGAAGACCATTTATATCCTATCGTGCGTGAATCTTATTCTATCGTGCGTGAATCCTATCTTATCGTGGGTGTATCGTATCCTATGTGCATCATGTCAAGAATAACGTTGCGGTAAACTATATGACAAATTTGATTACCTCAGCTTTTCCTTCGTCAACTTTCCTCATTTTTTGCAATAATATTCCAATATCATCTACATATGATGTAAATGTCTCCCAAATGATTCGGTATGCAAAAGGATGTTCTGAATAGGATCAATTTTCAAATCAAGGCAGGCTATTGATCAATAAATTTGTGTTACGGGGGTTTTGACAATCACATAAAATATAATATAACGAACAGTATTCAATCTCGAAAGTCCATTGAAATGATACAAATTTGGAGCAGAGCAAACACGGACCTCAAAATTTAGAGGTGGGATCAGGTGCCATGGAGGAGTGAGCCTCCCCTGCCGACCGGTCACACCTGCCGTGTGCTCCTTGTCATGATCGGACAGTTCAGTGTATAAATAATGGCCTAACAATTAGTATGAAAACTGTTGTTGGATTACCATTAACGTCTTTTTCTAGTAAAATATCTAAATATGAAACAAATGTGTCAGAATCTGTGGTATCTTTTATTTCAAGTTCATTGGGATATATCGAGTCGACAAATGAATGAAGGTAACTATTGTTAGTTGATAATATGTCGTCGATTGATAATATGTCGTCGATATATCGATATGGCGAGTTGAAGATCACAGCAAGTGTTTCCTTCTTCCCATGTAGAAGTTTTTGATTGATTGATTGATTGTATATTGTTTTACGTCCCACTCGAAAATTTTTCACTCATATAAAGACGTCACCATATACCGGTGACGGGCTTCAAATTTTGAACTTACTCGGCACTCGGGGCCATTGAGCAGTGAAGGATCTTTATCGTGCCAACGCCTGCCGTGACACGGGGCCTCGGTTTTTAAGGTCTCATCCGAAAGACCCACAACTTTCACTTTAAAGTGTCTAGCACATGGCGAAGGAACAGTTGCTACCCATTTTTTATCGACTTCGGTCAGTCGCGGCCGAGATTCGAACTCACGACCTCCCCATCACGGACTAGAAGTTTTTGAATAAATTCTGCTTCATATGGATTAAAAAAATAGCAGTCAGCATTTGACTCGATGATAGGTTGTATGTGCTGAGGTCATTGTATCGACCGTACAACTTGCGAAAAGATGACTCCAAACGAGACTGTTGATTTAAAGTCAGTATTTCGCAAATTCAAATCGTTGGGTCGTTATATATATGAAAAGTTCAGTACAAATAGATAGAACATAGTTTTATGTTGATTTTGACTAAGGATCACTACGTTCACCTGATCAATACAGAAGGCGTACGGCGGTAATGTCCGGTCGACAGGGGATGTTTATTCATCCTAGGCACCTTATACCACCTCTGGTTTTTCCAGGTTTTTATTCTTGTTCTCGATTTGTTTAAGGATTAATGAGATCGATCACTGTTCATAGTCTTCATTATTTACACTGACATATCGCAGCTCCATTGCCACCATATTTTTTTTTTCTAATTGGTATGTATTTAATTATATTTGAAAACAACATTGGTTAGTCTTAAGCTATCTAGACATAGCAAATGATATTCAGTGGTGTTTTTGATCGATTTCTTTCTTTCGTTTGACTTTTTTGCTTTTGTTACGTTTTAAAACCTCAATATTCAAGTACTCTACATAAAAAGTCAGTAAAGTTAAACATGAGAAAAAATTTTATCTTTAAACTGAAAATTCATTTGCATTTCCTCTTACTGATAAGGTCTTATCAGAAATAATAAAGATGAAAGTCGCTAGATAAATGACAGCTCTTCTGTAGAAATTAAATTTATGTCTCAAAAGACGTCTTTAAAAGGGTCATTGACCCCTGATAAAGATGTAATTTTTTTTAATTTATAACTAATGATAAAATTCTCGGGTTAGTAGGTCAATTCTGTAATTGTGCCCCGCAAGATACGCTGAAATAGTGTACATTCTGAAAATAATTGATTATTTTTCTTTTGGTTTGCGGAGTGGTTAGAGCCCGACTATATATATATATATATATATATATATATATATATATATATATATATATATATATATATATATATATATATATATATATATATATATAT